ATAGATAGATAGATAGATAGATAGATAGATAGATAGATAGATAGATAGATAGATAGATAGATAATGATAGACAGATAATAAAGATATTTGAGAGAGTTTATTGATAGATAATAGATAGACAGATATTTAGAGAGAGTTTATTGATGGATAAATTGGATGGATGGATAATAAAGATATTTGAGAGAGTTTATTGATGGATAAATAATTTAGATAGATCGATAGATCGATAGATCTAGAGGATGGCTGACCTCAGTGGGAAAATATGTTTAATTTATTAGCAAGCTCCATTCAAGGCCTGAGTTTTTTCTCTCTGGCAGAGAAAAACGTGCACACCGACCCCAAAGCAGGCAGATCCGTAGCTCGGTTTGCACGACACCTCAAGCCGCCACGGGGCTCACCGGCTTGCGCTGGGCAGGTGCAAATCCAACTCGCGTGATCCGGAACGTGAGTTGCATTCCACGTTGGGCCGAGGCGGGGGTTTCTCGCTTCTCGAGAGAGCTCCACGCTGCATTTCGCTTCTGCAAAAGTTGAGCAGCACGGTTTGTGCTTCTTCGCAGGCCCACCCTGGGGTGCCAGAAAAGAATTAATCGGCGGGTTTGTTTTTTCTGATTCTGCAGAAAGGCCCGCCTGCCTGCCTCGTTCTTCTCCCCACACAAAAAAATCTATCTACCATCTGTCTATCTGTCTGTCTGTCTTTGGGGCATGGCTTGCTTTGTGCCCGATGCAACTTTGGGCACCCACACTAGATGGCACATTTCTGTTCCTCCTTTGCTGCATGGCAGGCATGACATATTTTGCCCCCAGCACGTGGAAATTTTGTCCCATCCCAGGGCCCTGAACGTCCAAGGGAAGGGGGATTTTTCAACCTGGATGAACCCCCAGGCTCTGCGGAGACCCAGTGCCTCTGGAGCTCCCCCATCATCCCACCCAACAGCTGTGGGTCTCCATGGCTACAGGAACAGCCCACCAGAGTGACTTTCACTTCTGGATCACTCAAACCCATCCTTGCTTGATTCAAGCTTCTTGCTTTCGGTTGGCTTCAGTTGCAATATCAGGGAGGGGGTTTCAATGCCCCCCCACCCTCCTGGGGTCTATTCCTGACGTCGACTTAGTCATTCCTGCATTTTCCCTCCCGGTTGCCGGAAAAAGGCCGTACCTCTGGGCACGTGCAGAGTGCAGCGCAGAAGCTGCTAGGAACCGGGAGGGTGACCATCGCTGCCTCTTCGGCTTTTCGAGGTTGGGAAAGCTTTGCACCCGAGAAGGGGAAGAGGGGGCGAATTTTTGCAAGCCCATGGAGGAACCGGGTGACAATTGATAGTCGGTTAGCGCCTGGGTTGAAGAAATTTATATTCTGCCTTCGGAACAAAGACTTCCCAAAGCAGCTGACAAAAGGGCCATCAACCTGCGCTTAAGCTGCATGGAAAACACGCTTAATTATCCAGCTAAAAACAACCCGAGTTCAAAAGGCCAAGCCTCTTCAGATAAAAATGGAAAGTTTTCTTTTCAAAGGCGTAAAGCCAGGCGGTGACGCATCTCTCGCAGTTTTCCCCCAGCACAAAGAAGGTTGGCCTTGCTCTTCTTTGGATCCGTGGTTTTTTTTTTCCAATTTCCTGGTAAGAACCAGGCCGGATCCTGTTCCGCTTCTGAGGACCAGACACGGTCGATCGGATCCCGCGTCTTGGGGAGACCCCTCTGGAAACCCCAAGCCACCACACACAAGGTTGTGCCTTAGCATCAACCTTGTGGATTGCTGCTTGGTCCCCTTTCCCCCCCAATGTTTGGTTTTGCGGTCCCCAAGGCCCTGCCTCTGGTCAACTATTTTCCTACCACCATCAACACATTCCCTGCTTCCCTGTCTCAGCCCGGAGTCTCTGGATTTTCTTAGGAACATAAATAAGTATTATTCACGGCTGTGCTCTGTGTGGCCACCGTGCTTTGTTGTTCCCACTGTGGCGGGCTGGGCAGCACCAAAGGAAATGACACGCCCTTTCTCTACGGGCTATTGAAATTGCTCCAAATATATTATGGCAAGCTGGATTTGCACGTTGGCCTCGTCCCAGGATCTGCAAAACTCAGCCGGGGTACCCTCACCCCATCTGAATGCCCAGACTTTTTCCTGCACGCTGGCATCCCCCTCTCCCTCTTTGCTAGAACTGCAGAAATCCATCTCAGAGTTTAAAATCTTTTGCATTCCTCAAATTAGGCTGCTGGCTGGGAAGGCGGTGGGTTTGCGGGGGGGGG